AAACTTTATGTCCGATATTTTAAATGCACCATAAAAAGGAGTTAAACCAAAAATAGAAATAATGATCCAAGAATTTGGGATCAAAAAAATTTCAGACTTTTTGATATGCTCCTTTTTGATGTTAGCAGCAATCTTATGACCGTGTGAAAGTTAAACGAAAAGAAACTTCAATATCAAACTTAGCTAATTAAAGGTTAAAACAATCCCAATTTTTCATATTGTAACTTACAGAAATGTCAACCAAAAACATCTCGATTGTTTCACCAACTTTGGTGGAATACTACTTCCAAATATGCAAAACCTTCACTTGAATACGCCAATTCACTTTGTAAGGTTTTAGCGAATTAAGAGAAGTGATAGGGAGTGTAGAGGCTAACATCTTTGGATTCTCGTATTTTATTTAATCGTTTAGTTATGATAGGTATTAATAAGAATTGGTTTATTTATAGTGTAATGGTATCGTCATTTTAATTTAGGTTAGGGAAGATTTTGAATCCATTAAAGATTAGCTAATTTGATTTTCGATTATTATGAATATATTTAAAGTAATCAACTTGCTCACAAAGTTTGTTATTGTTTTGGATTTAAATAGAAAATTATATATTCTGCTAATCAATTATAGGGTAGTTATGGTATGCTCTTTATAAATTTAAAATCTTCGTTCACGATTTCAATTACTAATTAATTTTTATTAATGAAATCAAATACATCAGTGAATGTTTAAGTAAATATTGAAAAGTGGATATTATGGTGGAGATAATGATTCCACCCATATTAAGAATATACGATTTTATGCCATAAAAAATATCAAAACTAATGATGCGATTTCGGCCCTTATTCGTAAAAAATCGCGAATCGATTAGGATTAAAAGCTTCCTCTTACAACAAACGACCGATATTAAAAGTTAATATTGTCGGCGGAATTATTAGACGGTTAGGATTAAAAGCTACAGCTTATAACTGAATGGCTAAGAGTAGAACATAAAATTTTCGGGTTTGGTTAGCGGGTATAAAATATCCACGCGTTTATCCGTATTTTGATTTGTTTGGCAACAGTTTTATGATTTCTTATACTATAGTATTTATACGAAATTTTGGCTACAAGGTTAAATCGCTTTTACTTTAATAGTATAGATGTCAAAAATAGCCACATTATATAACGCAACAACACTATATAATTGCCTAGACTTGGGCATTCTCAGTTAACCGTCTGGTATCGGTTCAGTTTCAGTTAGTGTGTACAATAATTATCCAGATATTTTAGAAATTTCAGTCCAAATCTGTTCGGTTTAGTTTAAATATTTGAATAGATAACCATAACTAACTGAAATTTTATCTAACTTAATCAAAATACCAAATTTACCAAAATAACCGAAATTAACCAAAAAAATACAATAACAAATAAGCCAATTTAAGACGTCCGATTTAATTTCAAAATCGTGAACAACATAACTGAGCAGATAAATTAGCAAAACTTGAATTTAAAAAAAACTGAAAAATCCATTAGTATAAGTGTATAGCATATACTCAAAGTAAAAATGGTGATATGGATGAACATTGAAAAATTTAGAATTTATATGAACGGATTTTTTTTTAGTTATTGAAAATTTTGTGGTATCCACAGGAGAAGCACTCTTTTAGGATGTATGTTCTGTCCCGAAAAAATCTGTAATCACATTTCAAGAAAAAAAAAATTGGGTAAGAAAGAAAAACAAATTTTTTTTTTTCTTTGTCTTATTTTGTCTCTAAAAAATGAAACAAGCGAAAATAAACCTTACAATTTCCTTAACGTTCGCTTTCTCCTTCAACATCTTTGGAATCAATGCAAACGCAATAGAGAGTCTCTAATGGTCATTGTGATGGATGCAGATGAAGAAGCCACAGGGGATAATACAGAGAACCTTGAGGAAGAAGTTACTGCAGAAGAAGAAGATCAAGAAGAACCTATTAACGATGAGGTTGTTGTGGAGATAATTCATGAGGAAGAAGTGAAGGAGGAGGATGATGATTGTGATGGTTTGGTTAGCGAGATTGTATCGCTTATCGAGTTCTTGGATCAGATTACCGAGTATCGAAGAACACAACAGAAAGAATGTTTTAACCTCGTTAGAAGGTTGAAGATTCTTGTTCCATTTTTGGAGGAGATTCGAGGTTTCGAATCGCCAAGATGCAGACATTTTGTAAAACGTTTGAGGAAAGTGATTCTTGTTGCTAAGAAATTATTAGAGACTTGTAACAATGGCAGCAAAATCTTTCTGGTAACTAAAAATCTCATTTTTGTGACAAATTATGATTGATTGTTTCCTATGTATAACCTTTTTTGGTTATTATGATTACAGGCATTGGATAGCGAATCAATGATGACGCGATTTCATTCGATTTACGAAAAGTTGAATCGTGTTCTTGTTAAAGCTCCTTTCGACGAAATGATTATTTCTGATGACGTGAAAGAGGAGGTAATTCATAACTTGTTCTCTTTTAGAAGAGATGTACGGGTCTCGGCCCAAAACTATGCGGAAAAATTAACCTAAGAAAAATATTGTAAGCTTGTGTAGTTTCTAAAACGAGTACTTTTTTTTTTGTAGATTGATTCATTGTGTAAACAACTGAAAAAGGCAAAAAGAAGAACAGATACACAAGACATAGAGCTAGCAGTAGACATGATGGTGGTATTCTCAAAAACCGATCCTCGGAATTCAGATAGCGCTATAATCGAAAGGCTTGCGAAAAAGCTCGAGCTACAAACAATAGATGATTTGAAGACAGAAACCATAGCCATAAAAAGCTTAATCCAAGACAAAGGAGGGTTATGTATAGAGACTAAACAGCATATTATTGAGCTACTCAACAAGTTCAAGAAGCTTCAAGGTCTTGAAGCTACCGACATTCTCTATCAACCCGTTATCAATAAAGCATTCACCAAGTCGAAATCTCTAATATTACCGCACGAGTTTTTGTGTCCTATCACGCTTGAAATAATGCAAGATCCGGTTATAATCGCGACTGGACAGGTAGCTATAATATAGATATGATCGATATGGATGTGAATAGTTGGATTCTTGGTTGGTTCATCATGCTTGAAACTAACATAACAAATCAACAATACTTGTTTTGTAGACATATGAAAAGGACAGTATACAGAAGTGGTTTGATAAGGGGCATAAGACTTGTCCCAAAACTAGACAGGAGCTAGAACATCTCTCTCTTGCACCCAATTTTGCTTTAAAGAACTTGATTATGCAATGGTGTGAGAAGAACAATTTCAAGCTTCCAGAGAAAGAAACATCTCCACACTCAGAAAATGAGCAGAAGGATGAGGTATCTTTGCTGGTGGAAGCGTTATCGTCAAGCCATTTGGAAGAACAACGAACATCCGTGAAACAGATGCGTTTGCTCGCTAGAGAAAACCCCGAGAACCGAGTTTTAATAGCGAATGCAGGAGCGATTCCTCTGTTAGTCCAACTCCTTTCTTACCCTGATTCTGGAATCCAAGAGAACGCGGTAACGACTTTATTAAATTTATCTATCGATGAGGTCAACAAGAAACTCATATCAAATGAAGGAGCCATTCCAAACATTATTGAAATACTTCAAAATGGAAACAGAGAGGCTAGAGAGAACTCTGCTGCAGCTTTGTTTAGTTTATCAATGCTCGACGAGAACAAAGTAACGATCGGTTTATCAGATGGGATCCCGCCTTTAGTCGATTTGCTACAGCATGGGACATTAAGAGGGAAGAAAGATGCTCTCACTGCACTATTTAACTTATCCCTTAATTCAGCTAATAAAGGAAGAGCCATTGATGCTGGTATTGTTCAACCTTTACTCAACCTTCTAAAAGATCGAAACTTAGGGATGATCGACGAAGCGCTTTCGATTCTATTACTTCTTGCATCACATCCCGAAGGACGTCAAGCCATTGGACAACTCTCTTTCATTGAATCTCTTGTGGAATTTATCAGACAAGGCACACCAAAGAACAAAGAGTGCGCGACCTCGGTACTTCTTGAACTAGGCTCTAACAACTCGTCTTTTATCCTTGCTGCGCTTCAATTCGGCGTCTATGAATACCTTGTAGAAATAACCACTTCTGGAACAAATAGAGCTCAGAGAAAAGCAAATGCTCTTATACAACTCATAAGCAAATCTGAACAAATTTAGACTTGGTTCTAAACTTTTTTTCACCTTGTTCTGTAATTATAGGATTCATAAATTGTTTTTTCTAATTCATTTAATTCTGTAACAATCCAATGTTTGTTGTATATTTGTACATGTTGTTAAGTTTAGTTATATACTATTAACTTTTCCTATGTGTAAATATACTCTTATGTAAAGGATCTACTTGACTATTCTGTTCTTTTCAGCTACGGTGCTACTTGAACTAGTTCTTATACTCTGTGTGTGTGACTATGTACAACTGGTGACTGGTGAGGGTGGCACTTACCAACCTAAGCCCAAGATTCAAAAACCAAACTCTTGTCTGAAACGCCAAGTTACTAGGTGTTTTTGATAGCTTTAGTCTCAATTGTAGTAAAATTGTAGAAAAGTTATATGTATCTAACTATCTAAGTAATGAGAAAACCAAAGATCCCAAGTCTTAGCGTGAGTGATACTGTAACAAGAAGCTTTCAGATTCAACATTCGTATTTGCAAACTAAGAACCAAGAAGAAACTTGTTTTAAGAAGCAAAGTTTGCTGCAGATCCAAAGGAACAAAATACTGCTACATACTCGAACTAGTCTCTAACAACCTCGGTCTCATTCGAGTGGATACTTAGACCGAGTTGCGTGCGTCTAAACGTTCATTTTCCTGTTTCTCCTATTATTATAATCTGATACATCTTAATAACAAGACTGTCACAAACCAACTTCATTTGGTATAAGTCTATAGGATTCTGTTCTAAGTATGTAAATGTAAAAACCCATTTCAAAGCAAGAGGCTTTAATCCCACTAGTCACACACTTGCATAGAATCTAAGTAAGCTATTGAAATAAGAGACACAAGAGTAAAAAAACAACATCTGTAGATAAAGCTTATCTCAATGTATAAAGCAATCAAGAAAAAAACAAAACAATCCCCTAAAGAAACAATATCAATGGATTTAATCAAAATCCATAAAAGCAGTACAACAACATCATCACTGAGGTTTTCAGATTCTCCTACCCTTACGAGTAGTAGTCTTCATACCACTTACAGCGACATTAATCGGAACAGGTGGCTTCTTATTCTCTTTAGTCATACTCCTAAGCGAATACCTCGGCATAGCCTTAACACTACTCTCAACCATAGACACCGCAGTTTTCTTCTTACACGAAGAAACGCCTCTTCTCTTATTCGTCATCGCCTCGTGATTCACACCGAGGTTATAAGGAGTTCCTTTCACAAATCCTCCTTCAACAGCTTCTTCTCCTTTCTTCTTCCTCAATCTTTCGTTCCTCTTAGCCGAATACTCCTCGTAAAACCTCCCTCTCTCGAAAACCGGAGCCGAATTCGCGGCGACACTCTCGAGATTTGGCTTTTTTCGTTCCTCTTCTTTAGCAAATTCGTCTTTAACCATCTTTGCTAAAGCATGTATCTCTTTAGAGATTGATGAGTATTCGATTTTGTTCTGTTTAGTGTTTAGATTTACATCACTCAATCTTCTCCCTTGCTTCTGAGAACCTGAAATTTTCCGGTAACGAAATCGATAAGATAAATATCGAATCAGATTGAGAAAAGTTTTGAAAATTTTTTAAAACCTGGTGGTGTTTGGAGAGATGATGAGTGGAGGAGGACTTGACGTGATCGGAGACGGATCGGAGATTTCGGAAGCGGTGGTTTCAGGTAAGATCTCATCCTCGACATCGCTCAAAACACGATTCTTTCAAATTTCTGAATAGAGAGAAAAGAGAAAGATGATTTTTTTTTTCTTTGAGAGCTTTATGAGAGGAGGAGGAGGAGCGGTCTAAGGTGTTAAAGCTTTCTAACGGTTGTATTTTTTTGATCGGACGGTTAAGATTGGATTAGATTCAAATTGAAGGATTTATTTCCAAATAAAACGTTTTTGGACATAATTATTTATGTATTTTTGCCCAGAAAAAGAGATAATTGTTTATTGAGAAAAAAACAAAAGGCAAAGAGTTAGATAACTTACCTTGTTCGGACAAGTTAGCTGGTTTACTTTGTTGACTTTAAAAGGTTTTTTTGGGAATTTTTTTTGTAATTAAGATGTGTTTATGAATTATGATTATTAATAGTCAATAGGGAAAATACTATTTAATTTATTTATATATATTTGCAAAAGTGACAAAACAGCTCAAATTTTTTCAACTAAAAATATTAGTTACCAAAGTATTTTATATATTTTGCCAAGTGTTTATGAATTATGATTATTAATAGTCAATAGGAAAAATACCATTTAATTCATATTTTGTTTGCTAAAGTGACAGAGGTTTGAATTCTTTTCACTAAGAAGTATTTAGTAACAAATTTATTTTAAATTGAGTCAAATCAAACTTATGTTGACTTTGAATGACTAATAGTGTTGGATCTTGTAGGATCTTGCATAATTCAATCTATATTATTTGAAGCCGGTTATTACAAGAAGTTTAAAAATTTCCATTAACAAAATTTGAATTGGTCAAATAGTTAAATCTCAACATTTAATTGTAATTTGATATAAATGAATGGTCATGGTCCATGTGTGAGAGATTCTAAATTTTACTCATGGCAAACACCAAACAGAATAAAACACTAAGTTTAAGAGGTTTAGCTAATTCACTTGTGGACTTTGCATGTAAATTGGCAAAAAGAAAGTATTTAATTTTAGATATAAATGTCTATGACTATAGATAGTCAATAGAAAAAAAATATTATTTAAATACTAACTTTTACAAAATGCCTAAACAGCTTGGATTCTATGAATTCATTTTTAACTTTTACAAAGTGCCTAATTAGTGTTGTTTGTTGGTGTCAGATTTTGTACATCTTAATCCATTTTAAACCGGTAATTTCACAAAGTCTTTAAAAAATTACATATTAAAGTTGAATTAGTCAAATGGTCAAAAATTTTAAATTGGTCAAATCTCAACACTAATTTTGGAAAATTATAGTCAAATTAATGGCTATGAATTAATGACATTTTAGGGAGATTCTTAATTGGAGATGAATAACATTATGATATGGCCTTGTTCTTGGCTAAAGAAAGAAATAAAACGAAAGAAGCACCATGTTATTTTGTTCTATCATTTTATACAATTTGAACTAGCAGTGAAAATTTTTAGCACATATCCTTGTTGTGGATCATGTCAAAACATTCAATTATTGCATATGATTGTTGTCATGATGATATAATGGTTGGGACTGATCCAACAAATGTTTTTGAAAACCACAACACTAGTTAAAACTTTGCTTAAAAACATTTTCATCCTTTGGTCAATCTTCATACCATTAACATCAAAGTCAATATTAATAATTTTGTTGGTCCAGCATAACAACCGCGTTCTAACCTTATCCACGAGGGACTAATAATAATCATATCATTTCATTTTTTCTTTCTTTATCTTCATTTTTTGTGTCAATTATCTTCATTAAAACATCTAAAATAATGTTTAGAAAATCTGATGGAAATAATAACTAGGGTAGCTTCATATAAAATTTTTAATAGTTTTAATATTTTTTTTGTTTGACAGCAAATAGTAATAGTTCTAATATTTTTCCTCCAAATTAAAGTATATGTGGTGCTAACATTAGAACTAGGTTGGTTAATAGAACATATATCCGTTTTTTTCTGAGATGTTCGTATCCATATTGTCCGTAATTTTAGAAATCGTATTCATATCCAAATATCAGGATATCCGTTGAAAATACGATTATATGTGGTTATCCATAAGTATGTAAAAAAAATTGAAATACCGGGTATTTTACACATAAATACCGGATATTTTTATTTAAATATAGATATCCATATCTAAATATTAGATATCTATAACTATATCTGATATATAATTATTTTGGACTGGATATCCGGTTTCAATAACAAATGCGGACACATGTAGTCTTTTTAAAAATTGAGCATTATCCCTATCTGTATCTAAAATATCCTTTATTTTAATCGCGGATACATATATAAAAATTCGCGGATACGATTTTTAATCTCGGGATTAACTAAATGATAATATAATGATATTATTAATTTTTTCTTTAATCAACACATTAGATAAAAGATTTTAAATATTGGAACATCAAATTCACCTTTAGAAGCAGAAGCAAAAGCATTATTGGCAGCAATCCAACAAGTTTGGATTAGGGGTGTTAAGCATGTGTACTTCGAAGGAGACAGTGAACTTTTGATTAAAATGTTACAAAGACAACACCATAATATTACTATTGAAGCTGTTTTCCATGATATTATTGCTTGGTCCAAAAAATTTACTTCTATTTCCTTTCTTTTTTGTAAAAGAGATTGTAATAAAGTCGCTCATCTTCTGGCCTCTCATGGTTGTAATTTTTTTATTTTTTATTCTGATTTCTTGTATCCGCCTTCATGGCTAAGAAACCAATTGTATTATGATTTTTACAATTATTCAATATAATTTTATTGACGAAAAAAAAAAAAAAGATTTTAAATATTGAGAACATTATTTACATAAAGATTTAATAGAATACACACTTAGTTATATCATCGATCTATTTATCAAATTTTGATTAACTATACAAAATGGTTTTATTTTATTCTTCTATTATGTTTGGAGAAAAACAATAATCATATGTCAGATTTTATAATTTCTCTAGAGAGTACAACAAGTTGCGTTGATCATTTGATTAACAAAGAAAAGTAGATAAAAAAACAAAAAGACAAAGACGGATGACACAACACAAAGCCCGATCTAGCAAATCTCTGACTCAAACTCCATTAGATCCATTTCTCTGTTTCTTCTGTTTTGTTCGATTCCATTTGAAGAAGAAGAAGATATGAGATATGACATCAATCAAACCCTACGAAACATCAACCAATCTTGAAGAAGAAGAAGAGACACGTTTCTTAACATCTCTCTCGTCCCTTCCTCTCTCTCGCCATGCGTCGGCGGCTTATATATTACGCGATCTTACTCACACCATTGTTGTTACTTGTTCTCGCCGAAACTAATCCTTCTGATGTTACTCCCATTAACTGGGATCTTTACCACTCCAGGTGAATTTTGCCTCTTGGTAGTGTTAGTTCTCTGTTTTAGTTTTGTCCTGTCTCAAGTGTTTGTTGCTCAAATCGATCAATTGATAATAAAGTCATTGCCTTTTGTTATGTTCATAGGAGGGGTGAGACTATATATGAAAAGGGTCTTTGATTATTTGGTAAAGTTAGAACCTTTTTGGCTAGAGGATAGTTAGGAGATCTCTACGATGTTTATTAAGTAAATTTGCTTTTCCAATTACAATTCATGCAACCACACTTTGTTACGGGTCATAGTATACTCTCCTTTACTCAAATGTTGATGTAGAAATGAGCTTTTGTTATGTTCACTTTGGTTTTTTGATCATAGAAACTGATAGGTAGATATCTTTTGATTGAATCATTTGATAAGCTTAGATGGAAAGGAGGGTTGGGATTAGAATGAAAGGGTCTTTGATTATTTGGTAAAGTTAGAACCTTTTTGGCTAGAGGATAGTTATGAGAACAACCACAACTTTTGCAACCACACTTTGTTACGGGTCAGTCAGGTCATAGTGTACTCTCCTTAATTCAAATGTTTATGTGAATGAGCTTTTGTTATACTCACTTTGGTTTTTTGCTCATGGAAGCTGATGGTATATAGGGTTCGTTTGAATGATTTGATAAGCTTACATGTAATGTAAAGAAGGGGTGGGATTAGAATGAAAGGGTCTTTGATTATTTGATAAAGTAAGAACCTTTTGGGCTAGAGGATAGTTAGGAGAACTCTACAATGAATACTAAGTAAGTTTGCTTTTCCAACTACAAGTTATGCAATCACGCTTTGTTACCGGTCAATCGGGTCATAGTATACTCTCGTTTACTCAAATGTTGATGTAGACAATGAGCTTTTTTTATGTTCACTTTGTTTTTTTTGTTCATGGAAGCTGATAGGTAGATAGGTTTCGTTTAATCATCTGATTAGCTTACATGTAAAGGAAGGGTGGGATTTAGAATGAAAGGGACTTTGTTTATTTGGTAAAGTAAGAACCTTTTTGGCTAGAGTAAAGTTAGGGGATCTCTACAATGAATACTAACTAAGTAAAACTTCTTTTTCAACTACAACTTATACAACCACGCTTTGTTACGGAATAATCTGGTCATAGTATACTCTCCTAGTCTCCTTAATTCAAATGTTGTTTGAATTGAGTTTTTGTTATACTCAATTTGGTTTTTTGATCATGGAATCTGATAGGTAGATGGCTCTTGTTTAATTATCAGATAATCTTACAGGGAAAGGAGGGTTGGAATTAGAATGAAAGGGTCTTTGACTATTTGGTAAAGTAAGAACCTTTTGGCTAGAGTAAAGTTAGGAGATGTTTACAATGAATACTAAGTAAAACTTCTTTTTTCAACTACAACTTATGCAACCATACTTGTTACAGATAAGAGCTTTTGTTATATTCACTTTGGTTTTTTGATCATAGAAGCTAATGGTAGATAGGTTTCGTTTGAATTATTTGATAAGCTTATATGTAAAGGAAGGGTGGGATTTGAAAGGGTCTTTGATTATTTGGTAAAGTGAGAACTTTTTGGCTAGAGGAATATGCAACCACACTTTGTTACAGGTCAACCGGGTCATAGTGTACTCTCCTTAATTCAGATGGTTGATATGAATGAGCTTTTAATATAATCACTTTGTTTTTTTGCTCATAGAAGCTGATGGTAGATAGATTTCGTTTGAATCATCTGATAAGCTTACATGTAAAGGAGGGGTAGGATTAGAATGAAATGG